TATTCCTTGATACCTTATGGACCTTTTTGCTTTTGTGAGTGGGCCCCTTTAAATATTATATTTCCTAACTTATTAGCGCTAAGGGAAAGTTACTGACTTTTAAGCTTGTTAAACTTGTCCCAGTACTGAACTCTATTATTAGCTCTAATGGTTTCCCAGTGACTGTTTTGGATTTCCTAGGTAATAATTTCATCCACAAGCCTAGTAAAGCCTATCCCCCATTAACTTTTTCCCTCAAAACATACTTTTGCATTTCTTAGCCGTTCATTTTTCCTGATGAATTTTCCCTTCAACAAGTTCTATAAGATTTCCTGATGGATTTATAACTGGTTTCCCATTCAATTTGTTGATTACTATTATCTTGGCTTGACTTTTCCCAAAAAGGAGAGCGCCTGTAGCTCCATTTATTTCAAATATTCCTTTATGTTTTTCCTTTAAGATTTCATAATTATTGGAATTAATGTCAAGTATTCCATACTAATTTCCAAACACTCGATATCCTTTGTCACTCCTGAGGCTTTTTTTTTCCTAAAGATTTATTTATTCATGAGAGAGAGAGAGAGAGAGAGAGAGACAGAGGGAGAAGCAGGCTCCCAAGGAGGAGGGAGCCCGATGCGGGACTCGATCCCAGGACCCTGGGATCATGACCTGAGCCGAAGGCAGACGCTTGACCATCTGAGCCATCCAGGCGCCGTATTGAGGCTTTCTTCTTTAATTATGGTTTTTCTATTTTCACAGAAATGAAAAATTCAATTTTGATGGATTTATCTCATATTTGGCTATTTTGCTCATATCATTCATTACTTATTTATTATTGTAATTTTTGCTGTTTTTTTCCAGGTTTTCTAGGTATATAATCAGGCCATCCTACAGTGAAACTTAATTCTCTCTTCCTTTACCATGTAACTTGTTCCTTTCTTTTTTTATCACTCATTACAAATGTTTATTCAAATTAGAGTAAATAATAAGGGACAGCCTTGTTTTCATGAATGCCTGTAGATTTCTCTCCTGAGACAATGCTGGCTCTTGGTTTTATTTTTATTTATTTTTTTTAAAGATTTTATTTATTTATTTGACACAGAGAGACACAGCCAGAGAGGGAACACAAGCAGGGGGAGTGGGAGAGGGAGAAGCAGGCTTCCCACCGAGCAGGGAGCCCAATGCAGGGCTTGATCCCAGGACCCTGGGACCATGACCTGACCTGAAGGCAGATTCTTAATGACTGAGCCACCCAGGCGCCCCTGGCCCTTGGTTTTTAAAACTAAAATTTCCTGGGCTCAGTCAGTAGAGTGTGTGACTCTTGATTTGGGGGTAAGTTTGAGCCCTACATTGCGTGTAGAGTTTACCTAAGAAAAAAAAATAAAGTGGCGCCTGGACGGCTCAGTTGGTTAAGTGGCCAACTCTTGGTTTCAGCTCAGGTCATGATCTCAGGATTGTGAGACTGAGCCCCGCCACCCCATGGGCTCTGCGCTCAGTGGAGAGTCTGCTTGGGATTTTCTCTTTCTCTTTCTCTTTCTCCCCCTCTGCCCCTCCCCCTGCTCACATACTCTCTTTCAAAATAAATAAATAAAATCTTAAAAAATAAATAAAAGGGTTTCTATAAAAATAAATAAAATCTTGAAAAGATAAATAAATAAAACTAAAATGTGCTACTCCTAGAAAAATAAACTAGGTACTGGAGAAAAGAGGGAGAAAAATACTTTTCACTATATATTCTTGGTTTGCCTTTTGAATTTTGAACCATGTACATGTATTATTTCTTCAAAAATAGTTTATGATAAATAAATATGCACTAAATAATCAAACAAAAATGCTTCCTATTCCAATTCAAGAGCATTTCGGGAATATAATTTGGATAATCATTTCTCTCTGATGCAATTCTATCAGTCTCCACTATCTTCCTTACTGCTGTAATAGATTCTAAGAACTTTCCCCTTATTAAACTGACTTGCATCCTTGGGATAAAGACAATTTATACACAATGAATAATTCTTCTAGAATGCGCTATTCTTGAGAGAGTACTTTCAGAGCTAGAAAAGAACAACTTGCACACTTACAAACTGAAACACACACACACTGAAGAGCCAAAACATAAAACAAGAACCCTTGAGCCAAAAAAGAGTAAATGATTTAAGGCCACACTGCTTATTAACAGGACAGATAGAAACACGAGCCAGGTCTCCTGACTTGCTACAAGTGATTATTGGCTAAGATCTGCTTTAGTAATTCTGTACCAAAACTAATATGCAATATTTGAGTAAGATTTTTTTTTTGAGAGGCTTTTGGATTACTACCAATTTACACTGTAAAATATACTTAAGTAATATGATTTTTTTAATTCTCAGTTTAAGAAATACCTTACGCAATACAGAGGTGTTATTGTACTTCAACACTTAAAAATTCTACTGAATCTATTAAGGAGTCAGGTTTTTTTAATCCTTTCTTATTTCACCCTAATACTGGATTAAGTGCCTTGTTGTTGGTCTAATTTGGGTATTTATGTTCTGAAGTCAGCTATTTCAAATACATTAGTAATACAATTATGTGTATCATCCTCTAAAAACATGTTGATGTTTTCTGACTTTTATCCTCAATATATTAGGCCAACTATTCATTGATTTCATTGTCTTTTCAAAGATCAAACCCCTTAGTTCCTATTATTTTCATCTTCTATTTATCTATCTTCCCAAATCCAATGCCCGTTATTTAATAAACACCCATTACATTGTAGGGTTAATTTCTTTTTATTTTGACAATATAGATATGTGAAGTGCATTTCCTCCAATAACCGCATCCCAATTTTTAAACTATATTATCACTATTTCCTTTTTCTTCTAATACACTTATTATATGCACATTTTTATAGCATTCTATAGTTTATAATACTATAAAATACATTGTCACAACTGAATCCTATAACCTATACATCTATTCAGATGGTAGATCCATGACTCAAATGCAGGTTTTCTGATTTTAGATCTTAAACTCTATTATGCCACATTGACTCTCAATGTCCAATCTGACTCAAGTGTTTTAAGAAAGCTTTTTAAATCATCTTACAGAGGGGCGCCTGGGTGGCTCAGTCATTAAGCGTCTGCCTTTGGCTCCGGTCATGATCTCAGGGTCCTGGGATCGAGCGCCGCACCAGGCTCCCTGCTCCACGGGAAGCCTGCTTCTCCCTCTCCCACTCCCCCTGCTTGTGTTCCCTCTCTTGCTGTGTCTCTCTCTGTCAAATAAATAAATAAAATCTTAAAAAAAAAAAACTTAAGAGATCATCTTTTCAGATAATTTATATACTGTTATGTACAATACGCGAATATAATGTATGAGTTTTTAATCATCTTAAATCATTTTCTGAATGTAAAATTTATATTTCTGTAGCTAGAGAGTTTTCTATAATTGTTGATTAGGTTTTAATGCAAGCTTCTATTTCAGTGCTTTCTACTTAAGAAACTTATTCAACACACTTAAAGGAAGCCTACCTAAAATTTCACATATAAAATGATGGAATTAGGGGCCATGGCTGGCTCAGTTGGTAGAGCATGCAACTCTTGCTGTCAGGGTTCTGAGTTTGAGCCCCATGTTGGAAGCAGAAATTACTTTTAAAAAAAATCTAAAATGATAGAATTATACTAAATTAATGGTTCCCAAGCTAGGGGCCCTACACATCTCAGTTTCCATAAAGACAATAAAAAGAATCTATAAGCCACGGGACACCTAGGTGGCTCAGTAAGTTAAGCGTCTGCCTTCGGCTCAGGTCATGGGGCCAGAGTCCTGAAATGGCGCCCCGTGTCGGGTTCCCTACTCAGTGGGGAGCCTGCTTCTCCCTCTGCCTACCCCACCCTCAGCCCCGGCTTGTGTTCTCTCTCTCTCACTCACTCTCTCTCTCAAATGGATAAATAATAATAAAAAAATAAAAGAATCTATAAGCCATTTCTAATTTTCAAAAATCCTAAAAAAAATTTTGTTTACCTATGTTAGGATTGCATAGATTAACTAAAACATCGAGTATCTTTGTCTTAGGCTAGAATTACAAGTGAAAATAAAAAGTATGAATTCTTAAATGTCATTTGGCTTAATAGTTTAAAAAAATTTCAAAACATGGTATGATACTGTAATTTATAATAAGAAAATATTTGGTACTCATCCCTGTTTCTGGCACAGAGTTCCTAAGTGATAAAGGAATTTGGAATTTCCTAAAAGATAAAGGTATCCTGTTTATGTTAATAAGGTGACTTTTAGAAGGCACCGAAGATGGGGGCTTTTTGCCAGGCAAACCAACCATGCACTTAGAGGACTGGAACTTACAGTCCCACCCCTGATCTCCAGAAAAACCCAACAGGTCAGTGTCTGGAGAGCTTCCAGGATGGTGGACTTTGGAGAGTGGCCTGACTGGAAAGGCATGGAAGCCCTTTCCCCATTTCTCCATTCCTTGCCCTGTAAATCTCTTCCGTCTGACTGTTCCTGAGTTATATCTTTCTATAGTAAGATGGTAATCTAGTAAGTACCATGTTCTTCTACAGAGTTCTGTGAGCCACTCTAGCAAATTAAACCCAAGGAGGAAGTCATGGGAACTTCTGATCCATAGCCAGTCAGTCGGAAGCACAAGTGACACCAATCTGGACTTGTGACTGGTGTCTATCTTCAGGTAGATAGTGTCAGAATTGAGTTAAATTTGTGGAACACCTGGTCATTGCCCAGAGAGAACTGAGTTAACTGCTAGGTGGTGGTGAGGGGGAAGCACACACATCGGAATTGGTATCAGAATTGTACATGAAAACCAAGGGCAGTGAGAGGGCTGGGTAGAAACCAATGAGTCCAAAAGCTCTAGGAGTTTTTACGGGTTGCTAGGAGCTTTCTTAATAGCACCATATGGTGGACATCTGGCAACTCTTACCAGTATCAATAAAAAGACTAACAAAAAGATCTACAGGATGGTTACTCAAAAATCCAGTGTAAATTCTCTTTAGTGGCTGCCATCATTAGCTGACTACACATACCTGGATGAGGTCCAAGATTCCAAGTTCACTCTCTGATGAATCCACACAAAACACAAAGTAGAGTGTAGCATAGTGCCGATAAATCAGTTTGTACTCAGGGCCACCAATCAAACTGTGGAAGATGGGAAACGTTTAAATGGCTGTATCTTAATTAAACATTTCAAAGAGAAACCCTATGCCAAAGAATGAGAACAGGTACAACAGACAGGTGAGCACAGGCCAAACAACAGGCCATGTCTACCAGGGGAACAGCAACCAAGTTTGGAAGAGGTGCCTAAAACCACTTTACCTCACCTTTTCTTCTGCCGTCCTCCCAGGAACCAAACATCTAAATGAGTAATATCTGAAGCACAACCATTCAACAGCTTCCAAAACAGAATTGGGTGTCTTTGTGAGCAGCTCAGGTACCCACCTGACACTTGAGTACTACCTGAAGAGGCAACAGTGATGAAGGGCACCCAACAGTGGATACACAGGGAGAAAACGGAAGCCCATGATTTACCTTCCACCCTCCAAGAAGTTACAGATGTTGTCATCTCGCTTGAGAACTAGATGGAAGGTCTCTCGAACAATCTGCTGTTGAATTTCTTCTGGCTAATGGAATAAAAGAAATAAAAGTGAATCAGTACGGGGGGAGGCAGTCTGAAAAACTACATTCCATGGATGGGGATGAACAGGGAGAGAAGTGCTTCTAAACAAGGAACAATCTGAACATTTGGTACCAGTTTCCAGAAAAAAAGAAGTGATGAATAAAGGAAAAATAAAAGGGGAATCTATGGAAAATGGGAAAGACTCAGTTACACGGGGCGCCTAGGTGGCTCAGTTGGTTAAGCAACTGCCTTTGGCTCAGGTCATGATCCTGGAGTCCCAGGATGGAGTCCCACATCAGGCTCCCTGCTCAGCAGGGAGTCTGCTTCTCCCTCTGACCCTCCCCCATCTTGTATTCGCTCTCTCTCATTCTCTCTCTCTCTCTCTCAAATAAATAAATAAAATCTTAAGAAAAAAAAAAAGACTCAGTTACAGGAATTAAGCTAGGGTGTATTTACCTGGACATTGAGTCACTAACCATTACTGTCTTGATAGGTAAGCCTTATAGTTAATAACCAAGGAAAGGAGCGGGGAGCCTGGGTGACTCAGTTGGTTTGGCGTCTGACTCTTGGTTTTAGCTCAGGTCATGATCTCGGGGTCATGAGATTGAGCCCCACAGGGGGCTCTGCTTGAGATTCTCTCTCTCCCTAAGCCCCTCCCCCTGCTCGCACACTCTCTCTCAAATAAATAAAATCTTAAAAAAAAGATTTTATTTATTTTATTTGAGAAAGAGAGAGAGAGAGAAAACAAGTTGGGGGGAGGGGCAGAGGGAGAATCAGACTCCCCGCTGAGCAGGAAGCCTGATGTGGGACTCGATCCCAGGATCCAGGGATCATGACCGGAGCCAAAGGCAGACACTTAACCAACTGAGCCATCCAGGCGCCTCTAAATCAATAAAATCTTAAAACAAAAAACAAAAAACAAAAAACAAGGAAAGGAGAACTGATAAACTCTCATAAAAGGTCAAAGATAACTAGAAGGCCAGTCCTGGAATATTTTGCCTTCACCTAGAAAATATCTATGCCAAGGTAAATAACAAATGTCAATAGGCCTAACCCTTCAAGGAGGTCAAAATTTAATTGTGTAATCATGTTTTCAAAAACTGAATTTTCCATCTTCTGTACTGGTAATATGGCATTACATATAAGATGGGGTGTTACTCACCAACAAAGTATTACTGTCAGAAAAAGTTCTATTTACAGATTAGAATTTTGAATGGTTATACTTTTTTTTTCACATACACAAGAAAGCTCAACTGTAATGATACCTCTTGATAACTCACATTGTGAGTTATAAATTCACACTCTTTATACAGAGGAAGTTCATAAGTATGGTTAAAAAAAATAAAAGGATGATGGAGGGCACCTGGGTGGCTCAGTCAGTTAAGCCTCTGACTCTTGCTTTCAGCTCAGGTTATGATCTCGGGGCTGTGGGACTGAGCCCTGCCATGGGCTGTGCACTCAGCCGGGAGTCTGCTTGAGATGCTCTCTCTCTGCCCCTCCCCCTGCTCTCTCTCAAATAAATAAATAAATCTTAAAAAAAAAAAAAAGGATGATGGAAGGAAGAAACTGATCATTAAGACAAAAGTAATTAAAAGCTCTCACATCTCAATGTGCAATGAATCACCTGGGAATGTTATTAAAATACAGGTTCTGATTTAGTAGGTTTGGGGTACATCCTGAGACTGCATTGCTAACAAACTTCCAGGGGATACCAATGCTGCTGGTCTGGGGATCATACTTTGAGTAGCAAAGCTTATGAAAACCTTCAGATTGGACTTGCCCTAAGAGTCAGAAAATAGATTCAGGTAATGTTAACCCCTTCTTTCTAAAGCATTGAATTTGGGACGCCTGGGTGGCTCAGTCGGTTAAGCGTCTGCCTTCAGCTCAGGTCATGATCCCAGGGTCTTGGGATGGAGTCTTACATCAGGCTCCTTACTCAGCGGGGAGCCTGCTTCTCCCTCTGCCTACCGCTCCCCCTGATTGTGCGCACTCTCTCTCTGATAAATAAATAAAATCTTTAAAAAAATTGAATTTTAGTTTGAAATAGTTATTTAAAAGAAAGGCTGAGGGTGCCTAGGTATCTCAGTCGTTAAGTTGTCTGCCTTTGGCTCGGGTTGTGATCCCAGGGTCCTGGGACCCCACATCGGGCTCCCTGCTCAGCGGGGAGCCTGCTTCTCCCTCTCCCACTCCCCCTGCTTGTGTTCCCTCTCTCGCTGTGTCTCTGTCAAATAAATAAATAAATTTTTGAAAAAATAAAAGAAAAAAACAACAAAACAGGGAAAATGTAACTGTGGAGAAATTATTTTTCATAACTTTGACTCAACGTGGATGAACAGTGGCTCTCAGTATTTACTCAATCAATGAAAACCAGCTAACGGGATGCCTGAGTGGCTCGGTTGGTTAAACATCTGCCTTCAGCTCAAGTCATGATCCCAGAATCCAGGGATGGAGCCCTGCCTCTGGCTGGCTCCCTACTCCTTGGGTAGCCTGCTTCTCTCTCTGCCTGCCGCTCCCACTGCTTATGCTGTCCCGTGCACGCTCTGTCAAATAAATAAATAAATCCTTAAAAAAAAAAAACAACTTAATAAAAAAAATAAAAAAGAAAACCTGCTACTCACTAGTCACTGTAAGTTTGAGTCAATCAGTTACTATTTTCCTGGTTTCCATTTAAAGTCACAAAGCTCACTGATGCGAGGATGTGTAAAGGATTAACTCCGTGTACTTGGAAATACAAAACAAGCGAAGTATCAGCACTTTTTAACCTGATAAAAACATCTTTCAAACTAAAGCCTTTTATCTGACCCTAGGGGCAGGCAGCAGCAGTCATAGGGGAAGTGGTAATGAAACAGTGAAGCTAACTAATTTCTTTCTTTTTAAAAGATTTTATTTATTTGAGAAAGAGCGAACTAGCAGGGTGAGGGGCGGAGGGAGAAGCAGATTCCCCACTGAGCAGTGAGCCAGCCATAGGCAAGGCTCCATCCCGGGACTCTGGGATCATGACCTGAGCCACCCAGATGCCCCTAATTTCTAATTTCAACAGAAAGGTGAACTACCACTTGCTTACATGCCTCAATGACTTTAACAATCCCTCATATTTTTTAGTTCTCTGCCGTTTTCAAAGTAACTTTCACTTACAAGCTAATGTGTTCTTATAAAAATTCTATGTTCTCCAAAGGTTTACAAATGGCCAATAAGGACCTGTAAAGATGTTCAACATCACTAGTCATTAGGGAACAGAAATTAAAACCATAATGAGAATCCACTTTATACCCACTAAAGTGTTTCTAATCCAAAAGATAGTAACAAATATTGATAGGGAGGTGGAAAAACTGAAACTCCTATACATTACTGATGGGAATGTAAAACAGTGCAGCCACTTAGGAAAACAGTTGGGCAATTCCTCAAAATGGTCACCATAAAGTTACCGTATGACCCAGCAATTCTACTCCTAGGTTTATAACCTAGAGAAATGAAAACGTATGTGTACATAAAAACTTGTACATGAATGTTGACAGCAGCATTATCCACTAGAGCCATAGGTAGAAACATCAACTGATGGACAATCAAAGTATGGTATATCCATACAACGGAACGTTAACTTGGCAATAAAGAGGAATGAAGAATTAACACATACTACAAGCTGGATTAACCTTAAAAACATATTAAGTGGAAAAAGCCAGTCATAAAAGACCACATACTGTATACCATTTACATGAAATGGCCAGAATAGGCAAAATTTAGGGACACACAAAATAGACTAGTGGTTGCCTAGGGCTGAGGGAGTTAGGAGGAAAATAGGGAATGATTCCTAATGGGTAGGGGCTTCTTTTGGGGGAAATGGAAATGTCCTAAAATCGACCATGGGTATGGTTCCACAACTTTGTGAATGTACTAAAATCCACTGAACTGTATACTTTAAATAGGTGAACTATATGTATGTGATTTATTTCTCAATAGCACCTAAAAAAAAATTCACACACACAAATGCAAATACAAACTGAATGGTTCTCTTGAATGTTAATAGTTTTATCTCAAAATATTTAATAAAACATAATCTAGCTTAAAAAATTCCACGAAAAAGGTAAAATTGTTTTGTTCATATCTATTTGACCAAAAAAAAAAAAAAAAGAGAGAGAGAGAGGAAAAACACAGGGTCAATAGACACAGGGTAAAAAAGGTGAGCCGAGGCCTGAACAGGAGTTTTCTCACTTTACCCTCTTCATTTCACCAATTATGTCCGTAACATTTTGAAACCTTGCCACGAAGAAATACAACGCTGGAGGGCAAGAGACAAAGAACGATGTTTGTATTTTCCCAGGGGAGTTTTTGGGAAAACTCAGATTTACATTATCACTTATTGAGCCCTCACGCGGTAGCATTTATAATTTCTCATCGCTTCCCACTTTTAAACTGACTTTCTTCAACTCTACAGGAGGAAGGGTATCCAGTCCCTGGGCAGTCCCGGCCAGCACTGAAGCAAAATAAGCCCAAGAAAGCACTTCTCCAGATCCTCTAGCCAAAGCAAAAACTTTCATAAGCGGGCATATGTCTTCCTACTCTTACAACCGCGCTTAACGACCGACAAGATTAAAGGGACTTCCATCAGTCGCGTGTTCAATGGGGCACACCCCACCGTCATTCAGCGAGCCCTGAGACCCAAGGGGAAGTGTCACCAAATGGCAGAGAGATGCAGGGGTCCAGGTGAGGGAGCGCGGGGGTGGGACAGACGGCCCGACAGCCGCCCGGGTCCCGCAAGGAGGGTGACGAGTGTGAGGGTCACGCCCGGTGCAAGGAGCCCGAGGCGGTCAGCCGGCCGGAGCGGCAGAGGGAGGGAAGGGGGAGCGCGGGCGCTCCGAAGGGACGTGACGAAGCTGGGCCGCACTCACGAAACGCTGGTAGAAGCGGACCAGCCGCGGCTTCCCGTGGTTGTTGAAAACCAGAATCGCTTGAATCATCCTTGCCGGCCACGTTCCTCCCACCGCCGGCGGCTCCCACAAAGCATCTCCTTCCGTCACAACACGGCCACTTCCGCTCGGTGCGCTGCGGGGCAAGGCCGGCGGAAACGTGCCCCCGCGCCCAAGGGCCCGACCGCGAAGGGTCCGGCTTCCCTGCACCCCTAGGAGAAAGCTCCCGGGTGGGCGGCGGGCTCGCGGGGGTCGGGCCGGTTATGACCGCGGGGCCGGGCCGGGGCGTCACCTCGGCTAGCATCGGCTTGCCAGTCAGGGCCTGGCCAGGGCGCGAACCCGGACCTCCGCCGCTCGCCCAGACGGAACGCTTGCCGCAGAATCCAGGGGGGAGCACGTGGGAAAAACAGATCCCGAAGCCGAAGCTCCCGAAAGCAGCCGCGCTCCCAGGCGACCAGGCGGCGGGGACCTCTCTGTCCCGCCGTTCGCGCGAAAACGTACGGTCCTGCCTTCCCCGTCACACTTGCAGGACGGTTCGCGGTGTGGAGGTGCCCGCTAATTTAGCCACTGTCCGCTTAGGGGGCGTTTGGTTCATTTTCGTTTTGCCGTGTTACATACAGTGCCGCGGTGAATTACACAAATGCATGCTCGTGCAAAAGGGCCGTTTCTCCATGGTCGGTAGTGAAGGGTGGAATCAGGGACTCTTCCATGCATATCCATGTGGCGATCCCAAATTGGTAGATTTTGTTTCTTCTTTTAATGACTTAGTGGGGGTGCGGGGGAGCCACGTCCCTTAGAGCAGCTAGAGTTACACGTTGGAATCACCTGTCCAGAGGACTGACCGTGGACATCAAAAGCCTTTAAAATATGGAGAACGTTAGGCCCAGCGTTTCGTGGTAGAATTTATAATAAAAAAATTGTGGACGTGTGAAAAACCTCAAGAATGTACATCTCAGGGAACGTGGCTGGCTCAGTCGGTTAAGCCTGTACCTTCGGTTCGGGTCATGATCCCAGGGTCCTGGGATCGAGTTCCATATTGGTCTCCTTGCTCAGCCGGGAGCCTGCTTCTCCCTCTCTCCCTGCCTGCTCCTCTCCCTGCTTGTACTCTCTGACAAATAAATAAAATCTAAAAAAAAAAAGTACGTCTCAGCAGTGTTAACTGCAGGGAAAAATGGGAAACAAATTATTCCGAAACGAGTTATTTGTTAAATGCCTTGTTCCGCATGCACACGAGGAATATTAAATGGTCATTAAAAATAATTCTGTGAAAGGTATATGGTATAGGCAAGTGTTCATGGCATATCTGTAAGTGAAAAGATCACACAAGGTATGTACCTGGATATCCCACTTGGTAAAAGACTGTAAGGAGATACACCAAAATATGAATAATAATCATGTCTGATCGAATGGCAGCATCACAAAGTGTTCAGCACAAGGCCCTTGTAACAACACTGTCCTGGTTAAAACCCTGGCTCTGTTGACCACCTGGGTATTTTGGGCAAGTGCCTTTGTCTGTAAAACAGGCATAGTATGTTTCCTTTACTATAAAACTAGGTTTTTTTCTACTTAGACGGTTAAACAAAATTAGTTACTGTTTGTAAGCACTTGGAACAACGCATGGCATATAATTTAGTACATAAGCGATTTGACAAACAGCAGTGAAATTCGGTTTTTCATTTTTTGAATTTTCTAAAATAAGTATGTATTACTCTTGGTGCCAGATTTTTTTTAACTTAAAAACTCCCTCTCCCACTTCCCCTGCTTGTGTTCCCTCTCTCGCTGTGTCTCTCTGTCAAATAAATAAATAAAACCTTAAAAAAAAAAAAAAACGAAGTGTTAAGCATCCGACTCTTGATCTCAGCTCAGGTCTTGATCTCAGGGTCATGAGTTCGAGCCCTGCGTTGGGCTCCACCCTGGGTGTGGAGCATACTTAAAAAAAAAAAAATCCAAAGTCAATAAATTTGCACTGAAACTTGACAAAATGTTCCAAATGTTGAGGAGAAATAGCAAAGAAAATTCTAAAACAGAAGAATAATGAGGGGGACTTAGCTCTACCAACTATTAAAACCTACTATGATAGTTCAAATTATTACTATAGGGAGACTTATTGAAATAGAATAATAATTTAAGTATAAAATAACTTTAATATGTGATGTAGGAGCCATCATAACTTGAGAGTGGGAAGGAATCCAATAAATATGTTGGGATAACTGGTTAGCAATTTGAAAATAAGCTATTTAGTTATCTCACTTCCTGCCCTTTCACAAATTAAAGGCGGAGTAGATTAAGGACTTAAATGTAAAACCAGGTAATAACCAAAATGGAAGAATTGAAACTGAGTAACATCTGAAAGGAGAATATAAGCTTAGAAGCAATAAAAATCACAAAAAGTCAACAGATACATCTATATAAAGATTTTGTTTGTAAGAAAATCAATTTTTTAAAAACAGAAAAGTTGTTAAAATATGGTAAATGGTTATGTTTAAAATTTAAATAGCCGAAAAGACCTCCACCTTCAGTATATAAATAGGCAAAGAACCTGAGTAAGCAAAGAGGAAATATATCTAGGTAATGAACGTGGAAAAATGTTTAAGCTCACTATTAATCGGGGGGAAAGGCTAATCACAAAGTATTAACTTTAAAGTATTGTTTTTACCTTATCAAATATCATTTTTTATTTTATTTTAAAGATTTTATTTATTTATCTGACAGAGAGAGACACAGCAAGAGAGGGAACACAAGCAGGGGAAGTGGGAGAGGGAGAAGCAGTCTTCCTGCTGAGCAGGGAGCCCGATGTGGAGCTCGATCCCAGGGCTCTGGGATCATGACCTGAGCCGAAGGCAGACGCTTAACGACTGAGCCACCCAGGCGCCCATCAAATATCATCTTTTAAATGTTATTACACCCAATTCTGGCAAGGGTAGCATGAAAATGGTCCTCTCCTACAGTGCTGGTAAAATCATAATTTAGAACAACACTTTTGGGGAAAAAAACTTTTACAAAAAACTCCGAGATTCCCAGGAATCTGACTCCTGGGAATCTGTCCCTAAAGAAATAACCTCAAAATACAAAAATACGGTAGGGGGGTGGGAGTGGGGGAAGGGGGGTGCATGGGGGTGCAGGGCAGGGAGGCTGTATGGGTGAGATTTAGGGAACTATATAATCTAAAACACTTACTGACATGTTAATTAAATTATCTCTAAGTAGGAATCGATTAATTATCCAAAAATTGGACAATGATAGAGCTATTAAATGGTAGTCAATCTTAAAAAACAATGGTTATGAAGACTGTGTAGCAATATGGAAAGTGATTATACAACATTAATTGAAAAAGGATTATCAAATTTTATGTGTAGGTATGGTATAACAACAACCGTGTACACAATTTGTATATTCCAGGAGCGGGCCCCTCCCCCACCTCCATGGCTCTTCAGGTGCTCTTTTCTTGCTGGGGAGTCCCTTTCCTCCTCCATCTACCTGGATTTCTTTCCATCTCCACTCCCGTCGCTATACACCAAACTACTCTAGCCTCTCACTGTGACAATTAAAGCAGTCTCCTAGCTGGGCTCGTTGCCTTTAGTTTCTCTGCAGTCAAGTGATTTGATAGAAACAAATCAAATCATATCACTCTCCCCAGAATCACTGGCTTCCAGGAAGTTAAGGATAAAGTCCTAAAATACTTAACATGCTAAAAATGTCATGCCTGATTTCCTGCATCATCTCAAACAACCTCTACCTCCACCCATTCTCTCCAGCCACAAAGGCCTTTTCCTTCCTTCCTTCCTTCCCCCCTCCATCTCTCCCTCCCTCCCTTCCATCCTTCCTTCCTCTCTCTCTCTCTCTCTCTCTCTCTCTCTCCCTCCCTCCCTTCCTTCATCTCTTCCCCACCCACCCAAGACATTAAGCCCACTTGCTGCCCAGGGTTCCCCCCACTGACACACTGGACCTCCTTTTTTGGAATGGTGGCCTGCCTATATGACCTTGCCATACCCTTTGGCCACAGTGCTATGGGCAGCAGGATGCCCTCACCGGGTGTCTCTATTCTAGTCAATATCCCCCAACCTCCTGCTGCTTAACCACTTCCCTGGCCACCCCCATGGTTGAGGCCCCAGCATGCTCAACACCCAGCCAGCCCCATTCAGACACAGGACACCAGGGAGGCAGCTATTGTAACAGTCAAGGTGAGAGGTCACAAGGGTCTGAACTAAGAAAAGGGCAACAAGAACAGAAGAGATCGCAAGCAGACCAGTGACCTGTGACTTCAGGTGGCCTCACTGAAGTGTGAATCCCAAGCCTCACAGCCATATTGTCAAGCCCAGGCTCAAATATGCAAGAAGGTAAATGAAAATTGGAACCATAGTAGTAAATTCTGGAAGCATAATATTACTTGCTCAACTGCTAATACCAATAGAACTGATTTCAGCCTGGGCAGACCAGCAGTCAAAGGTTTAGGCAAGTTCCCTAAAGTCTAGGAATATAACCCCACTACACAGAGCCAGGACTCCTCTGGCCCCCGTGTCCAAGGTCCTTCTGTAGGCCAAGGAGGCAAAGGACGGGGGAAGAACATAGGCTTTGCTTTCGACAGCCCCGGATTTAAATCCTGGCTGTGCCACTTATCAGCTGTGAATCTGGGAAAGTAGCCTTAACCTCTCTGAAGCCCCTTTTCTTCCCTGTAGTGTACACGTGGAAGCAGAATAACCCAGTAAAGAATACAGAGTCTGAAATCTGACTGCCTGGGTTGAAATTCCTCTTTCCTCTATATACTATAGATGGAGCCTCTGAGCTTCGGAATCATATGGAAAAAATTGGGTATAATAATCACACATACCTCACGGGATTGTGGTGACAGTGAAGTAAGATACTGCAAGTGCTTAGCAAGTACAGGTTTCCCCTACTATCCAAAAAGTACAGCATTCCTACGAAACCTTTTGTAAACTGAAATGGGAGACAGTGAGTAAGCAATCACCATTCATTTATATGGAAAAATTTTTGAGCGTTTTCTTAGGCTTTTCTGGGCACATCTTGCTGACACATACACAAAATCAACTGAAGTAAAGCATAGATGTTCCCAGGAGAGGAGACTGGTGGGGTCACTCTCACTACTTGGGGTGCGCAGCCTCTATAATGGCTCCCTGCGAAACAAATGCTGAATGCTATTTTCATTTTTTTTTGCCTTATTTTCATAAAAATGCAGATTTCTTTTGGTTAGAAAAAACAGGTACTAAGGTAGGTCTTTCATAAACGTCAAGTGTCATAACACAACTTTGAAAAGCAGGGGATATGCGCACTAGCACCAGGAAGGACTCAACAGTCGGTGGCTATGATTATCATCATGGAAAGCATCTAGTGCCATGTTCGATACATTAGGGGACTCGATACTTGTTAGTTCACCACCACCCTGTCTTGTCCCTGAGGCCAGCAGGATCCAAATGCCACCAAGTCTCTGCCCCATTCTTAGGACACGTGGATTTCAACTCCACACGCCATCATGGATCTGAGTGCAGGCGCACTACCCAGCAAGGCGATGTTCATGATCAAAAAGACATGGCTTCCTTCTTACAAGGATCACTCCTCAGCTGGAAGACCGTTTATACCTGACATAACCCGGTCAATGCAGAGGAATCCTTTTCTGAAGATTTACTCACTCATAAAAAGTTCTCAAAATACAGAACAATAGCGGCAAAGGTGTTATCAAAATGTGGTCTGGGGCGCCTGGGTGGCTCAGATGGTTAAGCGTCTGCCTTCGGCTCAGGTCATGATCCCAGGGTACTGGGATCGAGTCCTGCATCGGGCTCCCTGCTCCTTGAGAGCCTGCTTCTCCCTCTGCTTCTCACTCTCTCTCTCTCTGTCTCTCATGAATAAATAAATAAAATCTTTAAAAAAAAAAATGTGGTCTGGCAGAGTGAGCCTGAAAGGTGGGGACCAGCCAGCCACACCTGTGAAGACTCTAGGCCTCCCTGAGAACAGCATCCCCAGCAAAGCAGCCAGGGAGGTCAGGAGACAGCAAACCCCCCAGTGTGGCAGAGAACCAGAGGAGGAATAAAGAATTGGCAGCTCTAGGGGAGGAAAAGGGCACAGAGAGGACAAGGAGGTTTGAACAGGAGAGCAAAGACTATTATAACTCAGAGCACTGGGCGGGGCGGGGCGGGGGGAAGCAGGTGTGGAAGGTATAGGAGAATATACGAGGGCAGAGGAAGGGACCCCTGAGCCACTCTGCATGCAGATGAGGGACATTCCCCAAGTCTACACAAAGACCAAGTTCGGTTCCACTGACTGCTTCCAGAAACAAGGCTGCCATTTAAGGGCAAGGGCCACCATGGAAACGTCTAGGAGATCTAGACTCGCATCAAGGGAGGGCCCCTCCATGAGCCACAGCATGGGGCACCACTGCTCACGTCACGGTCTTGGATTTGATTTTAGCAGTGCTTATTCCAAGAGCATTCCCTGGCAGCTGTAGGAAAAACCAGGGAAGGCTTGGCGGACCGCTCCCTCGAACTCCAGAGTCGATGTTGATGCAAGAGATTCTCAGCAGCGCTGGTGGGCCCAGGGGGCGCTTCACTCCCACTCATCTCAGTCGTCCTAGGGGTTAAGTAAAGAGGTGCGAACAGAGTGCATTTCATAAAAGTCTCCTACAAGTCATCAGACAAACAAGGGTTCCCTTGAGGGGTACCAGTGGAGCCCTCAGCCACCGTTCTTGGCTTCACCTCATTCGAGCGGGCCCAGGGAGCGGGCCTGGTGGCTCTAATTGTTTTTCATTCTGAGATTCACTTTTTTAAGACAAAGGGGACTCCAGACCCTCCACTCTTCCTGCCCTGCTTTCTCTGGTGAATGTCGTTATTGGCATCACCTAGATAAATAGCCCATACTTCTGTGACTTGGTTTTAAATGTTCAATTTGGGGCCTTTTGACATCAATTCAGATCTTCGGGTGAAATACGCTTCAGAAAAACACATCGACTGTGGATAGACTAAAGATCAACGAGGGGGCTGATCCTTGGCAAAAAAAAAAAAAAAAAAAAATACCCGACCTAGTGAGGACCAAGCCAGCCATTTTCCAGCCACTTTGGGCAGGGAGCCCAGAACGAAGGAGGGGGAAAAATGCTCATTCAGCTCAGCTGCCACAACATGGCTAATGTATTCACTGGAAGTGAAAATGTTTGGAGATTTAACAGCATCAGGTTTCACAGGTTCCCCTCCAGAGTCCATTCTTTCCATCCCTTGCTTTTATCAATCTTTGGGACTTTCTTGTAGATTGGCACAGTTCAGACCCACCAAAAGGAAAGGTCTCAAGTGGTCACCCTTCATTCCTTGAAAAGAATTTTCCTGAGGCTAACACCCACTCGGGAATCCCATGGAATTCCACCAAAGCTGGGGGTGTGAAATGTATGCTGCTGCGTTGTCCTACACCCGCCGCAGCCCGTGCAGACAAAACTCCTGCCGAGGGGTAAACTGTACCAGTGCCGGGCTCACGGTCATCTCTCTTGACCTACCCACTCCTCGTCCTCTGCCCCGTCCCCCTGCTCTCGCGTCTCCGCGGTGGCTCCCATCGTAGACTTCTGGGCCATGATGTTGTCTGTCCAGGATGCCCCTGTCTTTCCATCACCAGCAAAATTACACTTGGTCACTGTTCCAGCCTCAAGTTTGGCTAATGACTCTGAAAGGAGGGAAGAAGTTGAATGGGCCATCTCCCTATTTTGGAAACATAGTGGGGGCTGGCCTGTTCTGCTGGGGTCTCGAGGCCTGGGTTAAACCACTGTTCTCCCAGACCTGGGTGCCCTCGGGGAGGCCCTGAGTGTGATCCCTAAGGCACTAGATAGGAGACATCACCCACAGGAACCAGAGGGTTGGGTGGCACCCCAGGATCCAGAGTGTCTAGGCTACTGGCCCCAGGGCACTTGTCCAGAGACTTAGAACTAAATCTCAGGGCTAAGCAGACCTGGCCTGCTCCCATGAGTTCTAAGCAGGAGGGACAGAGGAGCCTCAAACAGGAGGCCAGGAGCCTCTACAGGTCATGGGGACATGCTCACCCAGGAAGGGGCCATCGCCTCGGGTTTTCAGCCGTACCCCGACCCCCAGCTCCAGCTCCATCGCCTCCATCTCTGACTCGGACATCCAGAACGCCACTGTCTGGGCGGGGGTAAGGCTCTCCGTCAGCGCAAGCAGCTCTGGCTTTTGTACCAGTGCCTTCAGCGCCTCGGGCGTCAGTCTGTCCGTGTCCCCCATTGCTTCCACCTCTGTAGGCACACAGCACAAGAAGGTCGTTAGTGCTGGAACAGCAAGCACGCGGGGGCAGGGGGGGTCTTTCAGGAGCCAGGTGAGGCCTGAGTGTTTCACATATTCATAACCACCTGGAGGTAGGGCTCTGCGACCCCACGGTGCCGGGGACTCACCGAGGGACTCCTAGCGGAGGAGTTACGGGTGTGGGCTCTGGAGCCAGGCTGCCTGGTGCCGGTCTGTTCACAAGCCACGTGAGCTCGGGCAAGTGACTTAACCTCTCTGGGCCTGACAGATGGGGATAAAAACGGTACCTACCTGACGGGGCTGATGTGAGGTGTAAGTGAAGTAACACACGTAAAGCGCTCAGCACGGGGTCTGGCGTGTGGGACACCCTCAGTGCGTGTAACTACCTTAATTATTCCTTTATGACACAGGAGAAAACGAAGGCTTAGAGAGGTCAGGTGAGTTGCCCAAGGTCACACAGCTAGTCACACAGCTAGTCAGATCCTAGGAGGCAGGATCCCAACCCTCCACAGAATTCTGCCTTCCCACGGAGTCCCCAGTGACGAGCCAGGGTTCTCTCCAGGCTCTCAGGGTCTCCTGGCTGGGCTGGGGTCTGCTGGAATGAGCAGCAAACAGTGGTGATCCCCATACTCTCCCTTGGCCTGCTCATCCCCATCCTGGCAAAGCTCGGGGCTCAGGGAGGATTCCAATAGCCTCACCTGCCTGCCCCAAATGTCCCAAATCTGCAGATCCCGGGTTGGGGACCAGGGGGTGGGCAGCGGTGTCCCAGACTGAGAAGTGAGGATTTGCAGGGCCAGGAGGGCTCACAAGGCCCCGAGACCTCACGAAGGTGTGCACAGCCACCCCCCAGCTCAGCAACCCAAAACGGTCCTGCAGGTGGTCCTCTCCACACCAGCAGCCGGGGGCAGGGCTCTGCTGGAGAGCAGCCAGCCAGCCCATGGAGCCCACACCCCCTTCCATCAGGGCGTAAAACCTCCAAGCTCTGTCAGGGATGCTTTCTGGGGTTCCCCAGATGCCTCACTCCCACCAAGGGCTTTTGAACTGACCCCTTCTGCTCAGCCCTTGCCCTGCTTAACGTCCCTCAGATAAACCTCCTCACCTCCACTTCCCAAGATAGCAGAAGCCAGAGGTGGGGCTACTCACCCCCTGCCACCACCTGTCAATTTACCGATAAGCACATGAAACCTCTCCTCCTTCTCTTCTGTTTCTGTCTCAAAGGACCACGGGTCCCCCTCCCACCTCAAGCCAGTTTCTCCATCTGGGCTCCAGATCCCACCCCCTCCCCCTTCTCGGGGACCTGGCTCTCCTTCTCCATACCGGATCTTTCCTTAATGCCCTCCTGAATTCTGGCTTTGACACCCACTACTTCAGACGTCCCCCACCCCCACTCCCACCCTGACTGGGGTCACTGGGAGCTCTTCATTGTGAGCCCGCCGGGAGCTCCGCAGTCCCCACTTTACTGGGCCCGAGAGAGCACCTGACCCCATTGCTACCTGTCTCTCAAATTCCACCCCCCTCCTTCACTGAGCCTCGGAGACACACAGGCTCCCCCTCTCCCTCAGCCCTCTGCAGGGGTCCCTTCTCCTGCCCCTTACAGGCTTCTTCCCTGTTCTCCTGTGGTTGCTCTTCCCCAAGATGGCCTCTTGGGCGACTCCATCCTCTTCTACAGCTTCAGTACCAGCAGTGTGTCATGACTCCTAAACATGTGCCTCCAGCCCAGACTGATTCCTGGGTTCCAGAACTGTGTCCCCAAGGCCCCAGTGGACATTGACCTCTCCCCGGAAGTGCGACCACACGTCCCAGACAGAACTCTTCTCCCCACAATTGCAGCCAAGCCCAAACCCCAGGGTCGTCCCTGACTCCTCCCTCACTCTCCCCGTCTCCAAACACTGAGGCCACTGTCCCTCCTCTGTCTCCAATCTGTCCAGTCCCTCCATCCTCACCGACAGGCCCTTAATCCGGCTATCACAGCCTCCTAACAGGCCTGCTGGAAAGAGGAATGAAGTCACCAAGGGCCTAAGAATCACATGGGAATTTGGGCAGGAAAATGGAGGCTCTGCACAAGGGCAGTGAGAGCCCAGAGCCAGGTACATGGACGACTCTGCCAGACTGCAGGAAGTGGAAGGCCAGCCAGGCCCTGGGGATTGAGGTGGGGCACTGGGGATCCTCTGAGTGAATGGGCGGGGGCAGGAAGGAGTCCAGCCAGGGGGCCCTCAGGCCAGACATGGGCTTCAAGGCCAACCACAACTAAGACACTCACTAGGGGCCATGAGACCCCTAGAGACACAGAAAGGCCACAGGGTCAGGAGGCCCTGAGGGAGCAAGGATGGAGGATACCTACTGTAGGATGACATGAGGAAGCCCGTGTTCACCTTCCTGGTGGCGCTGAAGTTGGGCTCGATTTCATTTCCCTTGGGGTCGAACTTCCGGCGATGGATGCGACTGGGCCTGATGTATAGCACATAGTAGCGCTCCTGGGGCCGGAGAGAGAGTGAAGGGGGGGTGCTTCACTCCCCCCACCCTCCAACACACACACTTCCCACAGGGCTCCACTGCAAACCGCCCCCCCCAACCTCTCCCTCCACCCTGAATCCCACCTCAGCGCCAAAAGATATTCAAACTGGGCAGATGCCGCCCCCTCCTCCCCCCGGCCCAATATTCATTCATTCATCCAATCGTGTGCTTAGTACAGCAGCTGCCATACAAAATGAACCACGGAGACAGCCATGAGACGGCAGGCCCCGGGCCTGACCCTACGGTCTCCACCCAGCCAGAGACAGAAAACACAGACACAAAACCATAACCCAAGCACCAAGGACCCCAAATACTGTGACGCAGGAGTGAAAGAAGCCAACGTGTCATGGAAAGGGCTGTGTAAGGGTTCTGAGTGAGGGCAGCCATTGTGCCTCTTCCAACACATGTGGGACCTGAGGCAAATACCTCCTAGCCTCAGTTTCCCCTGGGGCATGGGGACAACGTGCTGTCTACTTTCAAGAGTGCTGTAAAGGTTCAGTGAGAGGATAGAGGAGCAAGCACAGCGGGAGACACGGAGCAAGCTGTCCATGCTGTTTGCCAGCTACTCTAATCCAAGCAGGTGGACGACACGCTCCCAGAGACTGAAGAAGAGGGATCCACCTCCTAGGAGAAACAGAAAAGGCAAGGTCTCCAAGGCTGGAGAGACCTACGACTGCGGGGGGAAAAGGGTGTAGGGAGACTATTCAAAGCCTGGGACAGGTACGAAATCAAAGTCAAGGTCCCATGTGCGTGTCTGAGCAACGCAGGGCACGCAGGGGCCTCGTGGGAGCCCAGGCTGAGAATGCAAGTAGGATCCGTTTGAGATGGGCCTTGAGCTGGTACTTTGGAGTTTGGACTTGATCGGGTCGACAAGAAGGAATCCCCAAAGGTTTCTCAGCAGCAGCGAGATCCTCAGAGATGCCTTTCGGAAAACAAGCTGGCTGCCGGGCAAGGACAGGCGCTGGGGGCAGCCAGAAGGAAGGAGGGGCAGGTGCAAGACTGACGGGGACAGGCGAAGTTCCTGAGGCCCATGTGAGGCCAGTGGAAAGAGGAAGGGAGGGGCCAGGGAAGGGACAGTCAAGGGAGGAGGCCAAGAGGACCAGGCACGGCCGGCCTGGGGGAGAGGGGAGGGAGAGACAGTGGGGGTTTGCAGGCCTGTGACCAGCGGCTGGGAGGTCTATTGTCTTATCACGAGGAAGGAGGAACTCAGAGGAGGCACGTTTGGGCCAGGCTAAGAGAGCCCCACATCAGGCTGGAGTTACTAGTGCCAGCTCTGCTGGGCAGGCTGGCTGGGGGCTCTAGATTGGTTGTCTACCCTGCTGACCTGCACACTAAGGAGGGGGTGGGCGAGCAGAGGCTCTCCCCTGGGCCGCAGAACAGCAACAGGCTCTGAATAGCACCAGGCCTCTGGCCTGCCTTGGGGGCCAGGAGATGAGCTTGGCCTTAGAGACCAAGGAGCTAAGGTGGTCGGCACACTAGGGTGGGGCTGTATGAAAGGGGGTGGAAATTCAGAACGAGTGCTCCGGAAAGCGACACGGGCAAGAAGTGCAGGTGTGTCTGTGCACACCTGAGATGGCGGGGTGACAGACGGCATGACCCCAGGGGCGTGAGAGCTCAAGGGAAGAAGGCGTGCGGACACGGGAGGTGAAGCCCCCAGCACGGTCAACAACGCAGACTGTAGGCTGGACAAAGGCCCTGCACACAGCAACCCACCTCCCACCCCAACGTCCCCGCCTGTATGAACGAGGAGGTCCCAGAAACCCAAAGTGCCCAGCCACATACAGTGGTATTCAAGGACGAGCGAGCCCATGCCAAGAGATTCACCACTTTGCAAAGGGAGAACTTCAAGGCTCCTTCTAAAAGCAAATTCCACCAGTACATTTAAAATAATGCAATTCCAAAGAATTCCAAGGACACGAGACCTCCCAGGAACAGACCTGGTACCTAGAAAGGGGAAGGTCACTGCTGACCCTGTCACACCCGCCCAGGCCGCTAACCTGCTCTGACCTTGTCCATCAGGCCCTCGGGCAGTGGGAACCACCAGACCAGAAGCCAGGAACCTGGGCCGTTGGCCCTCCCAGAATAAAGAGCCATTCTTCCTGCCCATCCAGCAAGGCTCCCAGCACTCTAACAGAAAGCAACAGGACCTCTTCACAGTGCCTTCCAGCTCACACACAGCCTCAGCCCCAAACCAGTCACCTCACCCCTTCTGCTCTTACCCTCCCAATCCCAGCCGCAAACACGCCACTGGGGTTAGGGCTGGTCTGTCTTGTCAGCAAGAACCCAGGTCCTGCCCTCTGTCCTCCACCCAGCACAGTCCCAGTTGACCCCTTCCCACCCAGTGGCCCCTTTAGGCTGCTATCTCCCCACCCACCACCCACCTGCCCTACAAGGCCCTCCAGGAATGAGCTGTACCCCAAGTCTGTGCACTGGCAGAGCCAAGCACAGGGAGATGGCTTGGTGGCTGAGGACCGGGAAGCCAGTGCCCTGCGGGTGTCCCCGGGGAGGCATCCTCACCTTCCTGTCATGGGCATCCAAGATGCTGTGGCGAGACACATCTACCAGTTCTCCCTCCAGCAGGACGCCGTTTCCCCTGGGGATGTGAGAGAAAGAAGGGATCCCCTGCTTCGGTCAGTCCTCAGGGAAGAACCACAAGTTCAACGGCCCAGGCCAGAGTCTGGACTGGGACAGAAGCGGGGCCCACAAGCATCTGCTAGTCACCTGGCTGCCCCCCACCCCCCTCCCAGCCGCCCAGCGGACCTGGTACTATTTTCTTTGCGCTTCTCACATGGGGCCTCCATTCCTCCATTCCTCCAAGGGTCCCAAAGACTGGGGCACTGCACAAAGGGTAGGGGGAACCGCCTCAGGCTGCAAGACCAAGCTGTGACCCCTCCCACAAGGGCTCACTATAAGCAGAGCCTCAGTCTTCTTATCTACAAAATGGGAGAGTAACAGCCACCTCACTCTGCTTCTGTGATGATGACAGCATAAATCGTGTAAGTGAAGGTGTTTGTAAACTATTATATGCTTACTAAATATAAAGGATTTTACTTTTTTATTTAGCCAAACTTGAGGGAGGGGTCTAAGGTGCTATAAAGTATCTTCCTTTTTCACCTGTTTTTTTTTCCACCTGTTTTAAAACACTTTCTATTCTTCTCCTCATTCATACCCACTTAGAGGTGGGAAAACCCAAACTTAGAAGTTTTATGACTAGCCCAAGATCGCCGGGTCCCTCGCCGAGAGGAACTAGATCCCCGCTTCCCGCTTCTAGTTCTCATAAAAAGCAGAACAGGAGGCTTCCCTTTTTAGAGCCACAGAAATGAGAGAGGGGTGGGGACAAGAAAAGATGGGGATGAAAATGGAAACTCGCTCTACTTTACTTACCCTACCCACCGCCTCACCTCCAAATTCTTGCGTTTCTAACCAAATGGAATGGTCCATTTGTTCTCATAACGTCCCTGCGACAGCCACCCCCCCCCCCATCCCGAGCCCACACGCGCCTCCAGGCAGGCACTGCCCTCCCACGGCCACGGCAAGCCAACTGCCCCGCGCTGTTGGGGTCACTGCACGACGTCCTCCCTTCCGGGGCGGGAAGCGGGGCGGCCTGTGCCAAGGCCTGCGGGCAGGGCGCCGAGGCAAGTGGCTGGAGTTCATAGTCGCGGCTGGGGAGGGGTTGAGACAAAGATCGGTGCTTTTGAGCTCCGTGTAGGCGTCGGGAAGGGTACGGGGTGGGGAGGGGGCAGTGGGGAGATTTAAGCCCATCTGTGTTTTAGGGGGTGCGCTCCGGCTGCAGGGCGCAGGGGAGCGTTGAGGTGGGGGGTGGTAGCCGTGGCCAGGTCTGCCTTCCCTCCCAACCGCACCCGGACCGCGGTCCCCTCCCCAATCCCGGAGCCGGGGTTCCAAGCCGGGGCCGGAGGGCCGGCCCTGGGGGTCGGAGAGGCGGGGGCAGAGCGCGGCGGGCCTACCCCTGGTGGGCGGCGGGGTCCCAGGCCCCCGGCAGCCGCGCGCTCCGCACCGCCTTGTTCCGGAGGGCGCAGTCGTGGTAGATGCGGCTCATGGTGCGCACGGCCGCTGCGCCCGCAGGCCTGGCGCTGGTCGGCGGCGCGCGGGGTCTCGGGCTGGGCGCGGGGGAGCGCGGGGGGCGCGCGCTGGGCAGTGACTCCCAGGCGCGGATCCGGGCAGGGCGCGGTCCGGGCCTGCCCGGACGGGATTTAAAGGGGCCGAGCTCCATTCCTGCCGCGGGACGGCGCGCGCGGGGAGGTGGGCTTCCGGGAAGACCCGCAGTTGGGGCCTCATTGTGGGCGGGGGGGAGCCAAGTTCTCCCCTTTCCCTCCCTTTCTTGTTACTAGAGGGAGACCCCCGCCCCAACACACGCACAAAGGGGAAATTGAGGCCCAGAGATCCTACAGGATCCACTCTGGAAGGAGCAGGAATGGAGAAAAGGGAAGTCTTTCAGGGATGGCGGGGTGGTCCGCACAGAAGCTGCTCTTTATGCTCTGCCCAAGGTCCCACAGTGGCTGAGGAAGGGGTTCCAGGGATCTGTGCCTAGGCTTGGGTGTCAGATCAAGGACTTATTAAGGTTTAAATCCCACTTGTGTGAGTATGAGCAAGTGCCTCAACCTCTCTGAACCCATGCTTCCTCCTCTATGGGGTCAGTATCAGAGGGGTGGTAACGATTCATAAACTCACTGTAGAACATAGCATTTCCCCTCTCTGCCTTTCCCACACAGTTCTTGAACCCCTCCCCAGCTCCCTACTGCCCTTTGCCCAAGTATGTAACAGTGTAGAGGGGCGTTTTCCAAGCCTGGGTGCAGGAGTCTGTTCTGACCCTGGGATTGTTGGAGAACCTTGGTTGTCTCGGACCCATCTGCGGCCTCTGGGGGAGCATTCAAAGGGGAGATGGCCATTTAGATACCTGGGAGTCCAAGATGAGCTGTAAGTGGTAGAAGAAGCACCCTCTCCCCACACACACATTAAGACTTTGGTGGTCCTACACACTTTTGTTTTCAAGGGTTCCTTCCTTGATTAAAAAAAAATTTTTAAATCATATTTTATGGGTGGGTTGACATAAAGATGAATACATTAATATTATATATTAAAACATTTTCTTCAGCCTGAAAATTCTTTTCTTCTTCTAATTTTTTAAAGAAATTAAAATTAAAATTAACATTTTCATGGGTCCTAGGCATTGTGTCAAATGGTTTAGTTACCTCCCCTCCTCCCTCCTCAGTCTGGCCTACCTGGCTGTTCCAGAAAGTCTGAGAGAGAAAGACAAGAGCCCTAGTGGGCTTTGAGCAGAACTATCTTTGGGCTTTCTCTCTTCAAAATTCCCCTGGTTGATATAAGGAACTCCTACAACTTAATAGCAAAAAACACCCCCCAAAAAACAAATAATCTGATTTAAAAATGGGCAAAGGAACTATATAGATATTTCTCCAAATAAGACATACACATGGCCAACAGGTACGTGAAAAGCTGCTCAACATCACTAATCAGGGAAATGCAAACCAAAACCACAATGAGATATCATCTCACACCTGTTAGGATGGCTAGTATCAAAAAGACAAAAGATAAGTATTAGTGAGGATGTAGAGAAAAGGGAACATTGGTACACTGTTGGTAGGAATGTAAACTGGTGCAGCCACTGTGGAAAACGATATGGAACTTTCTCAAGAAATTAAAAATAGAACCACCATATTATCCAGCAATCACACTTCTGGGTATACATCCAAAAGAACTGAAACCAGGATCTCAAAAGGGATGCCTGCCCTCCTATGTTCCTTGCAGCGTTGTTCACAATAGCCAAGACATGGAAGCACTGTAAATGTTCATCAATGGATAGATGGGGGAGGAAATGTGGTATATACATACAATGGAATATTATTCAGCCTTTAAAAAAAAAAAGGAAGGAAGTCCTGCCATTTGTAACAACAAGGATGAGTCTGAAAGTGAAAGAAACCAGACACGGGAAGACAAATACTGCATGATCTCATTTACATGGGGAATCTAAAATAGTCAAACTCACAGAAGCAGAGAATAGAATGGTGGTTGTCAGGGGCTGGGGGGAGGGGGAAATGGGGAGGTAGAAGTCAACGGGGTACAAAGTTTCAGGTATACAAGATGAATAAAGACCTAGAGATCTACTGTACAGTATAGTGCCTATAGTTAATATTGATTTCTATACTTAAAAATTTACTAAGAGGGTAAATCTTTTTAAAAATTTTTTAAAAGATTTTGTTTATTTATTTGAGAGAGAGAGAGAGCACATAAGCAAGGAGAGGGGCAGAGGGAGAGGGAGAAGCAGATTCCTGGCTGAGCATGGAGCCCAATGCAAGACTCGATCTCAGGACCCTGGGATCGTGACCTGAGCCGAAGGCACACGATTAACCAACTGAGCTACCCAAGCACCCTTAAGAGGGCAAATCTCATGTTAAGTGTTCTTATCACACACATAAAATAATAATAGTAATAAATAAACTTTGGGGAGGCAATAGGTATGTTTATGGCATAGATTTTGGTGATGGTTTTTGGGGTGTGTACTTATCTCCAAACTCATCAAGTTGTATACATTAAATATGTACAGTGATTTGTATGTCAATTATGCCTCAATAAAATGGTTTGAAAAACAAACAAAAAACCCCAGGCGGGTTGCAACCATGTGGCTGGTGTGCCCCCCTACTTCCTCCCCTTTCTGTCAATTTCCTGCTCCAATGGCTTCAAATCTCCACTGCCTTATGTGGCAGCTACTGGGTACATGTGGCTATTTTAATTTTAGTTTTAATTAATTAAACCTAAGTAAACTTCAATTATTCCGTCTCACCAGCCACATTTCAAGGGCTTCACAGCTAGCAACATGGGGCTAATGGCTGCCATTTTGGACAGCACAGACACAGGACACTTCCATCATTGCAGAAAGTTCTATGGGACAGCACTGCTGTAAAGCCTTTTCTGGGAAGAGTAATCCCTCGCTTACTGGGCTCTATGACTTCACCGCATCAGTACAACTGGTAGACCAGGTGCCGGCAACACAGGAAGCTAAAAGAACAAGAAAACATTTTTTTAAAGGTTTTGATATTTATTTCCTAAAGAGCCACCAATCATCACAGGGAAAAGACCAGAACTTTGTTGGACTTCCTTATACCTATTTGTAGGTGACTGATGTTTCTATATTAAATTACAAACCATGAGGTACAACATGGAGACAGCTTAAGCTTTGGGCCCCTCAGTTCAACGGCCCCTTTTGAGGACAGGGTTGAGGACCCCAAACAATATGTTTATATGGGCATATGCTTTTACAAAATTTTCACGGGTGGGGCAGTTTTTGGTATAGTCAGTTCAGACCAATATCTTTTGTTTTGTTTTGTTTTGGCCTGAATTTTCCGTTGCCTCACATCAGATGATATTGCAATGGACCTGAATGAGAGAACAGTTGACATGAGATACATTTAGTTTGGGCTTTGTGGGATGACAGATTTATGGGGTCTGTAGTCTTTCCCACTATCATTCCGTTTTTGCAAGCTGTCCTGGTGTAGGAGGGCCCTACCAGCCTCTGTGCTGACTCACCTAGGGGAGGGCTCAAAGGTGCAGGACAAGGGGTCCCATCACAGTAGAAATGTGTGCTGCAGCACCTGGCACTGAGACTGCGTGGGGAGAGGACAAGGAACAAACTGTGGAACATAAGGAACCAGAAGCCTGGTGTGTAGAAAATTCTCCTACTCACCAGACAGGTAAAACCATAAGCAGTGGATTGGTTCTTATTAATCCTAGTCAAAATGGATGTTTACTCAGGAATGTTCTCGCTAAAAGCCACACATGTCATTGTAAACCCACCAACCTTTTTTTTCCCCTTTTGGTGTGCATGGGACAAAACTGAATTTACCAGGATTTCTGTAGAGCAGAAACAGACAACAGTAACACCAACAAGAAGTGCCTGTGTGTGTAGTCTCAGGTTTTATGCCTCACAACACATCTTAGCATATCTGACACATCTTGTCTTGACAAAGTCTGCTGGTTCCGGAAGAAAGAGAGGGCCAAATTGCCACAAATGCAGTGAAATCACCTGAAGAAAACACACATACACACCGCAGAGCAAAAGATGCAAAACAAAGGAAGCAGTGAAGAGAGCAAGCATAATAGAAAATAAGATGCCAGAAGGAGAGCTAAAGCTATCCATCATATTACATCAATAAATGCAAATAGGACAAGCCTTGTTGGGAAAGAAAATCTATGATACGCCTTTGTAGCAGACATCTCTTCACGCCACATCAGAACCTCTGGTCCTCACATGCCTCTGGGGCCTTTGACCCGTCCTGTCCCAGCCCCTCGGTGATGACCAACCCTGCCTACTTCACACAGAAACAATCCTCCACGCCTCACCTCGCGGCCACACCTCAACACTTGCCCCTGAAGACAATTGGTCCCAAGGGTGGCCCTTAAAAGAAGACTCTCAGCGTAGGATTGTGAAATTGAATTACCTGTCGGTCTGATGGCAATAAGGGCACTTGCTATGGAAAGTGGGTGGTGGTCACCCTCGGCACAGAGAGGCATCAAAATTCCTGAGGTTTTCATCTGTGGTTAAATGGGGTGAGGTGCAGGTGGGAGGTGACATTCAGCTGGGAGATGGAATGTCTGTAGCCTGTGATGGGTCTTGAGGGCAATGATAATTATGCGACATGTGGAATAGGCCAGCTTTTTATGAACAGCAATGGAAAGCCTGATGGAAAGAAGATGATGGGCTCAGGGTAGACCACAGCCAACCTCAGGATACACCATGGGGAGCTGTAGGGCAGTTTTTAAGGAGACTCTCATCTCCTGTGGCTCCAGGGCAAACTGCTCTGCAGTCAGGCTCTGCAGCTGACTGTAAGGGTGACAGAGCGGCTTGTTCTGTTACAGCTGTTGCTGGGATGACAGAACTTCCGTGCTTCAGCTCACTTCGTGTGGGTACAACCCAGCGGTGCCTTGAGCCCTCCCCAGTGCGTGTCTCCTGCTTTTGCCCTGAGGCATCCACGTTGATGCTGAAGCACTGATGCCCCCTCTGGGCACCAACCTTGCACAACCCCAAATGCAGGGGAGTTAACACCTTGGAGAGAACATTTGAGAATGTGGGGGATGAAAGCTGCCAAGTAAATTCTTTCTCCTTTCTCTCCCTG